TCTGGTCTTCAGGCTTCACTTCTTCGCAATTCTGGTATTGTTGGTCCAGGACTGGCCTTCGATGGTGCTCTTAGTCTTTTTAATAGGATTGTGGAGACTGACCTTATGCGTAACCCTAGTGAGATCGCTGCCCCCAAACTCATGAAGAAATTGGCAGATATATATGTCACGAAGGTCACTGCATCTGTAGAATCCACTTTCTCCTTATCTCCGCGTCAGGTTGCCTTATGAAAGTCCTAACAGGGGATCACACATCTGCCTGGTTGCGAGCAGTCCCATTATCAGGTTTGGGTCAGACTATGAATGGTAAGGCTTACCGTTGTGTTCTTTGCTACCGGTTGGGTGTTCCCTTGTTCTCCGTTTCGACATCGTGTTCTGTTTGCTCAAGGGTTTTTGATGGGGATATTTATACGGGGATCATGCAGTGTCTTTTGCTGGGATGGTGGGTATTAAGCATCGGCACAATGTTGTTCGTGATACCCTTTTTGATATTTGTTTTCGCTTTGGGAAATTTGCAAGAAAGGAGGTTAATGTTGGGTTGACTTGAGGAAACGACGGGGCTCTTCGACCAGCAGATGTGTTGCTTTATTCTTGGGATAGAGGCCTTGATATATGTGTTGACTTGACGGGGTCTTCTCCTTTGACACAATCTGGGTTGTCTGACTTCGTTCCTGGTCGTGTTGTGTCGGCTGCGGCTCAACAGAAGCGAAACAATTATGGGGCGTGTTGCAGGGCTATTGGCTATGGTTTTTTTCCTTTCTCCTTTTCTTTATTGGGGGAATTAGAGAAAGATGTTATTGCGTTGCTGAAGTGGGTTCAGGCGTTCGCTAGGACTCAAGATATTGGTGCTCGTGCAGCTGCTCACATCTTCAACAGGATCGGGTTCGCTATAGCTAGAGGGGTGGGGGCCCATATTGTATCTCGGCTTCCCACTAATTTCTTGTAAATGAATTAACTTTGTAGGTTTTTGTTTAATAATAATAATAATAATAATAATAATAATAATAATAATAATAATATATCGTTTCACACAACCTAAACTATTATTGCCAATAATCATATAAAATGTAAAACATATGCACATTTATCATATTAATGTTACAAGATTTATTAAGAACAGAAAGACTGTCATAGTCTCATAGACAAGTTTTTCTCTTTGATTTTATGTTAGATTATAAAAGACATGAAGTAGATGGCCAATAAGGATAAGTAACCACAAGATCCCACATTGTACGTACATACCGTTATTGGTTAGAATTGAAAAGGGTCAAACCTTATACTCTTTAGATTCATTAATTTGGTCATCATCAAGTGCTTTTCAATGAAGAATAAAATCTTCGTCTATATATGATTAGATTATAATTTGGAATTATTATTCTATGATTAGATTATAAAATCTTCATCTCCATTAATATTTAATACAACCCACACATGCAGACCAAAAAGGGGAAGCCACACATACAGACCAAAAAGGGCACATGGACCTACCACTGCAAACTTGACAAATGACGGTATATATAGAAGCAAATCAAACAATGCAAGAACAAGCAACAATCACATACATACAAATTAAAAATACCGTTACATAACTAGCATAAGCTAGCTTAGTATACTCTTATAAGTAATAAATATTCGTGTTGTACGCATACATGGAGCTGTTCTTAAGAGAAAGAATGGAGCTACTTTTCACCAAAAGGCTAACTCGAACAGATGTTGGCGTTAGACTGTCATGGCCGTCTGACCATTTTGATCTCTTAATCGATCTTAATCAACCACCTAACAGATTGGAATTTCAAGTATATGACATGGAAGGGCGCAACTGGACTCTAACTTGCACCACTAGGTCCGGCAGGTATCCTAAGCCTGTCATATCTCGCGGCTGGAGGGAGTATGAACTCTTCTCATCATCCTCTACACAAATACTCGTATTATATTTGAGTTTGTACAAAAATTAAACATTGGTCAAATTATAGTATGAACATCTTTGTCAAGCTTACATGTACATTATATTTGGATGAAAACAGGTTAGTAAAAGAGAACGAATTACGCGAAAATGATGTAATCAAGTTTTACAAGAATCTTGATCCTGGTCCACCTATCTTCATTCAAGTGATGCGTAATGCTCAGCAAGGGTAGGTATAATAACTATAATACGAGTATATATACTCGAAGTCTCTAACCAGTTCTGATGCCACATTTTTAATTTTTAATAGAGGAGAGACAAAGAAGAGAAATCCACATCAAAACCTAAGCTAGGTTTCATCTTAAAACAAATAAGTAATGAGAGAAGTAGTCTTCTTGAATTATAAAATGAAAGCTCTTTACTTTACCTTTCAATATGTGACGCATAATATTACTCACACACTTGCACTTAACTATGATGCAATTAAATAATGATGTTATATCCCTCAATTTACGGTGCACGAAAGGTGGTTTATGGAACTATTGGTTATAATTGCTGAAGCTATGAAATATTATAACCAGGAAATTTGTTGCTAGAATTTTGATGTTTGTAATTTTCGTTGGTATTCTTTGATCCAGAAGAAATTGATGTGATGTGATGTTTCGGGACTATTTGATATTTGAGTTAAATTTGGTTGTTAATGAGTTGCATTAATTTTTCGAGCATAATCGATTCTGACCCAAATTTTGAAGCTATTGGAAAATTTCTTAATGTTAACCTTGGTTAATTGCAGTTGTCCTAGGGCGTATTATCACCTATGCCCACCTATTATAAGATTGTAAAGGAGCAAATTCTAAGAATCAATTTGGCTGAAATTCCCTTTTTTTTTTTTTACTGATTAATAATCAGATTGATTACCAATTTTATAAAGAAGAGTAATTTTATTTTTTCTTTTGCTTTCTTGAATGTGATATTGCACTTAATACTATCCTACTAGGTAGACATTAAATGTTAAAATTTATGGTTAAATTGATTATCTTGTTAAGAATATGTAATTTAGACCCAAAATAATCTAGAATGTCATTAATTTTTCTATGAAAATTAAATAAGTATGAGCAAAAGCAAAGTTAGAATCAGAACCTTTTGAGCATTTTGTTGTATAATTGGTTGATTGAGATTTAATTTATAGGAAATATGTCTTCTCTTTGATACGAGTATTGGGCAAATGAACTAGTAAGACAAAAGATGATTGTACTGCAGATTGAGATTAAAATTTAATTGTCGAGTACATGCCTAAAAATTTTCATTGAATTATGAAACCTACATATTCTTCGAATTCATGTGAGTTTAGAAGATATATTATGTAAATTTATTTCATGTGACCTGCTAGCTACTTACCTAAGCTAGTGCATAATTTGAGCTTAGTGGAGTGTTAAGAATCTTATGATACACGGAGAATAGTTGTTGGGATTTAGCTAAGTGTACAACATATTTAATGAAACATGAAACTAAACTAGCTTAATGTTAACTCTTTTGCTTTAGTTGCTGACAACATATTTTAATGAAACATGGAACTCTTTTGATTATATTATTTGTAGCTAGTCTCACTCTAACTCGGTCCTTTTGCTGCTTAGACTAGGAAGTTTTAGATTAGTTGCTTGTGTTTTAATTTTTTCTTGTATTTTAATTTTTTTTTTTTCCTATATGTGTCTTGTATTTGTGTTCATCCTTGTCAATAAGTAGTGTGGATTTAATTTGGCTCTTATTGATTACTGAGACCTAATGTCTTTATTGATCTATATATGCATATACGATACCCATCACACAATGTTATTAACTACGACTTTAATTTGTTGTTAATTTTGCCGTATGATGATTGTATATTATTAGATTCAAGGGATCGGATCATGTGACATGTGAGGGTGCAAGGTCAAATCAATAATGTCAAAACATAGATGGCGTGTCATGGTTCTCTCTTGTTTTAGTATTGCATCTATGAGAAGTGAAATGAGTCGTATAGCTAGAATTTTAATACAGTTTTTAGACTAGAGTTGAATAATATACATACAATGTATGATTTTATGTTATTAGATTCTATATATTATGAGAAATGAATTTGCTTTTATTGTTTGTATTGAGCTAAAGAGTATATATTAGATCCTTTATTCGAATCTTTTTTCACCAATGTCTTAGTTATAATAGAAAATTTAAACTCGAATTTTTGACATGAGCAATATTGTAAGAGTTATTATAAAAAAAAAAAAATAAATAAATTAATGCTTTAATTTCCAAGACTAAAATAGAGATTTAATAGCGTTTACAAAAAAGTGCTATTAAAATATTGAATTTCAACAGCGCTTTAAAGAAGTGCCGTAATTCTTTTAGCAGCGCATATAATTTATAGCGTTTCATAAGTGCTATGTTTTTAGGGAAAAAAACACTATTAATTGCTTAATATGGTGTAGTATATGAAACCACTTAACATAATTAATCAGTCATTTATATCATATTTGAGAGTTTAATAAAGTTTAAATGGCTTTACCAAATTATCCAAATGCTAGTTTCACTTTTAGTAAGCCATTGTCAAAAACAGACGTGAAGCGTAGATTAGCTTTTCCAACTTAACATGTCCATTTTAAAGAAGAACTGCCTATTGAACCAAATTTTATTATTTCGTGTAGTCATCCACAAAAATCTTCTTCCTCCATCCCTTACGATCCAATGCTTCATGTTCATGTAAATTCATATACTTCATATCCTTCCTAAGTCCTTCCAAACCAATTCATTTTCGGTCTCCCTCTCCCTCGTTTAACCCCTCCATGGTCCCACTCTTCCACTCTTCGAAACGGTGTCTCCGTGTTACATGCCTAAACCAACGCAGAAGATTTTCCCTTAGTTTGTCTGCAATGCCTGTCACACTTACTTTCTTGCGAATAACCTCATTTCTGATTCTATCTCTTAGAAGTGTTCCTGCACATCCACCTTAACATGCGCATTTCTGTAACCTCCATCTTTTTAATGTGCTTCTTCTTAGAAACCCAATATTCTGTACCATAGAGCAACACTAGTCTTATGACAGTCTTGTATAATTTTCCCTTCAAGTGTAAGGGAATGCTTCAGTCACATAACACTCCCATGTCCGCTCTCCATTTAAGTCACCCCGACTTAATCCTGTGGGCCACGTCTTGATCAATGTCACCATTTTTCTGGATGATCGACCCAAGATACTTAAACATTCACTCATGGTCAATTCCTTTCCATCCAAACTCACCACTTCATTACTTGTCCCCCTTTGAGTACCAAAGCGACATACCAAATATTCAGTCTTACTCCGAACTAGCTTAAACCCTCTAGATTCCAACCTTTGCCTCCATTTCTCCAACTTGTCATTAACCCCATCTTTAGTTTCATCCACCAAAACCACATCATCCGCAAACAACATACACCATGGAACCTTATCTTGAATTAGTCTAGTTATTTCATCTAGAACCGTTGCAAAAAGAAAAGGGCTCAATGCAGACCCTTGATGCAATCCAATTGTAATAATAGGGAAATCTTTTGTCAACACTCCACATGTCCTCACATTTGTTGACACATCCCGTTACATATTCTTAACCAGGTCCACGTACCTTTGTGGGATACCTTTCTTCAACATTGCCCACCAAAGTACCTCTCTTGGCACCTTGTCATATGCCTTCTCCAAATCAATAAAGACCATATGAATATCCTTCTTCTTTACCCGATAAAACTCCATCATTTGTCTTATCAAATGGAATGCTTCCATAGTAGATCTCCCAGGCATAAAACCAAATTGGTTATCCGAAATGTTTGTGCATGCCCTCAACCTATGTTCAATCACTCTTTCCCACAACTTCATAGGGCTCATAAGCTTGATCCCTTGATAGTTAGAACAACCCTGAGCGTCTCTTTTGTTTTTATAAACCGGGACCAAGGTGCTCTTCCTCCAATCTTGCGGGATCCTCCGTAGCCCTCCATATCTTATTATAGAGGTCTGTCAACCAATCAATACCAATCTTACCCAAACACCTCCACACCTCCATCGGTATACCATCAGGGTCAACCGCCTTCTTAGGCGTCATTTTCTTTAATGCAATCTCCACCTCTACTCTTTTAATCCTCCGCACATACTCCATGTTGATTTCTTCATCACTCACGGAGATATCTCCTGTCACAACTCCATTACTTCCATTAAACAATTCATCGAAGTACCCTTTTCCACCTGTCTTTGATGTCCTCCTCTTGTACTAGGACAATTTGGTTCTTATCTTTGAGACACTTTACCATGCCAATATCCTTCCTTGCCTCTTGTCTTCTCTTTGTCATTTTATAAATGATCTTTTCTCCCTCATTGGAGTCAAGCTTTTCATAAAACTCCTGATAAGCCTTATCTTTTGCTTGTCAAACAGCTACCTTTGCCTTACTCTTATATATATATATAAGAACACTTTCTCATGTAAGAACAACCTATCTATGTTCTAAAGTTTTTTCTATGATCTAAAATTTTTTCCTATGTTCTAAATTATTTTTCCTATGTTCTAAATTTTTTTTTCAGCTTATGCTCTACATTTTTTCCTACGTTCTAATTTTTTTTTTTAACTTATGTTCAAAATTTTTGTTTGCTTATATTCTAAATTTTTTCCTATGTTCTGCGGAGTAAATTTTTTTTGCTTATATTGTAAACCAGTTCCTACTTTCTAAACTTTTTTCTGCTTCCATTCTAAATTTTTCCTGCTTACGTTCTAAATTTTTCTCTATGTTCTAATTTATTTTTTATTTTTTTTCCAATGTTCTAATTTTTTCTGTTTATGTTCAATGTTTTCTTATATACTAAAGTTTTCTGCCTATGTTTAAAACATATTTAATAAAAAAAAAAAGGTATATCAAATTCACACTAAGTTATATTTCTTACAAGCAAAAAATTGGCTTAAAATGATTTATGTGCAAAATATTGGCTTGAAATGATTAATGACTATGGAAAACTTTGTTATATTTGAACTCTTATATTGTCATACAAACTCTCGATTTCACATTATAGAAATGAACCTACGTGGGATTCGAACCCACATCTTTGTGCATTTGTACAATGTTATACCTGTTAAGCTAGTAGGTTTAATGTATATGAAACATCATTTAATTTGCTATTGAATTCATTGACCCCTATGCGAACCAAAACTTATAACACAACACTTTATTGAGGTTTAATATCTCTAAAAAAAAATAAATGAGTATGACAATATGACTTATACTATAGTCAAACAACACTACAAGTAAATGCTAGAACAAGGATATCAACAAAAGATGTAATTTTGGTTCCCATAACATAAAACCAACTGCAAGTTTGATCAAGAGCTGGAGCGCAGCTAAGTCACATTACCATCATCGGTGTCAATGATCAATCGTGTATACATTATGCCATGTGCATAGTGCTCAATTGCTCATATATTGTCATCTCTATAACCTGGCTCATACCAAAATTAGGCACTAATATACATAGTGCTCATACCACTATCATGCTAACTTATACAACTGTCATGCTTTAACCATAGTGCTAAATTTGAGGGTTAATGAAATAGTCACTCATTGCATCTCACATTCTCACACCCAAATGACCTATAGCCTAACACTACACACACCGTCTGCAACCATAACACCACTTAACCAATCACATTCTTTCTTATACACATCATATAACAACCCATTAATAGGCAAAATCACATATCTGCACATCACAGCACACACAGGAGTGAAATCAACACGCTCACAATCACAAGCATAACTTTCACCCAATCACACACCTATACACAAACGAGCAGCTTACTGTCCATTCACATACCCACCAACATCACACCACCACCACACATAGAGGAGCATAGACTCGTATATTATGGAGAGAGATGTATAACAATTATAAGAACAATAAGATGAAATGGAGCAACAGACATCAGGATACACTCTATTTGCAAGGAAAGTTGCCTAAACAAGTTAGAACGTTATATTTGAATAAAAGATGAGTGACATTGAGTATAAGTGTATAGCCATTTATATAACGGAAATAAAGAAACTCCTTTTCATTCATTTTACTTTGGTCAAGAACAACAAATTAACAACAAATTTACAAGCCACCTAAGTATAAAATCTGACAACCAACAATTATCATAGAACTTCGTATATGGCTACTGATCAACTATTTAACTAAAAATAAAATCGAACTTATAACTCATTGCAAAACTACCATAATTATAGGTTGTATATATAAACAATTTCTACGGCAATACAAAAGCAAGGAAATCACATTTCTGACAATCAGACTAAATACATCAATAAAATGCAGCAACATTAGAAAAATATCATCAAAATAATTGAATAAAACACAAAGTTCAGAAAATTTGATGATGAAATTGAAAATCGAACACAAAATGATAAACTAAGCCGAAAAAATAGAGCACAAACTGATAAACTTAAAATGAAAAAATCGAACACAATTGAGAAAAAATAAAGCCGAAAAAATCGATATCAAATTCAAAAAATTAAGCAGAAAAATCAAACACAAATTAAAAATAAAAAATTAAGTGGTAAAAAGTTTAAGATATTGATCAATATACAATGAAAAGATCAATTAACGTAGAAAAATTTGATGATGAAATTGACGAGCTTACCGAAAATTGATGATGAATTTACGCCCAAATGCACTAGGAAAATAGAGAGAAATAGGTAGCTATATAAAATTTTAGAGAGAGAAAGTTATGTGGGATAGAGAAGAAAATAAATGAAAGATGCAAAAATTACAAATATACCATTATTAGTTGCCGAAAATTGACAGTTAGATCAAAGCAAATCGATGGTGCAGATTTGTGCCCCAGGTTGTTTATTGAATTTTAAAATAAAACATTTTATCTAAAATATATATGTTATTTGAATTTTTTACTCATGGATTAATAATCACTTGACAATTTTACTTTTCCGTTTATGGGTATTTTATAGATTAATAATCACTTAACGATTTTAAAAAATTAGAAGTAATAATGTACAACCAAAATGAACAGTTTAAAGTTGTGTTATCTTTTCATTTAACATTTAAGGAAAGGTTGGTTGCATGTTAAAACTTAAGAGAACGGTTATATAAAGTAATATGTCTCTTGACTTTTTATTTTTTCCTTTTGTATCTGCATTCGTCATTTGTATAGAAATATTGGTATTTTATTGAAAATAAAATTCTAAACCAAAAGTTTTATTGAAAACAAATCTCTAAAATAACTTTTTTATCCTACTGAATTAATCCAACTTTTTTATCCTATTCTATAAAAAAATATATATTCAAATAAATCCTACGTGTCATATTAATAATTAATTATCACCTATGTGGCGCGACACTTGGTGAAAAGTTGGAATGTCAAGTATCGTTGTCTCGTGGTCTGGCTAAAAGTTTAGCTTTATATATTAGTTACTGATACGTGCCCTGGGCGTTGCCCCGTATGCCCATTTTGAAGAGTGTACTTAATTGTAGACATGCTTTGTATCATAATTATAATTATAATTATAATAATAACAATAATAATAATTGATATTTATATTTTATTTCAAATGTTAGATAAAAAAAAAGAGTAGAAACACTACCTATTATACTTTTTTGCTAACATTGATCTGAATTCACTTCAAGATTCCCTTGTATAGTATAGTTTCTGTTGTGTCTTAATTTTAGTAGTTTTTTACTTCCTTAATTTCATCGACAAAATCACAAACATATACAAAATTATTACAACCGAATATGAAAAATACTTGATTCAAAAGCTTTAATGGTAAATCAATGGTACACAAAAAAAAAATTAGTGATACATGGCCATATTTATAATTATAATTACGTGGTTATTCGTATAAGAGTATAATTCTATTGTTAATTGGATATTTATATTAATTATAATATGTGGTGTATTTTTATAAGTAAAATTCTATTGTCAATAAAAAGATAAAAAAATTTCAAAAGAATTATAAATTATTTTATGTATACTTTTTTTTATCCTAAACATATCTATCCAATCTAATCTAACGTGCCATCTAATCTAATCACAATTAATATCTATTTGTCGCCTACGTGGCTCAACACTTGGCGAAAAACTGGAATGTCAAGTGTTGCTGTCTTGTGGGCTGGCTGCGACACTTTATTTATTAGTGATATGATATGATAGTTTTGTGCCCGGGCAATGCCCAGGTTCATAAAATTTTAAGATAACATTTTTATGTTAGATACGGTCAAATAATTCATTCTGATAATGTAGGATATTTAAACATACGATATCATATGGCTTAGTTTTTGTTTTCTGGTGTTGGATTTGAATGTGGGTGTGAAATGGAATGGAATTGCAGGGTTTCAAGTTAATTTAATTTAATTATTTCGTCTACTTTATCTGTTCAAAGAATTCTGAGTTTTGTCTTGCTCAGAAAACGGCTTTTGAATGTCTGATTTCATTAATGTCTTTGAATTATGGCTATTTTACAGATTTTTTTTTTCCCACTTCTTTTGGTGATTATGATTTATGATCAGCAAAGGCATGGGACATTCCGCACTTGAATCCATACTTAAAAAGAGATGCAGATTTCACACATGGAGTAAATTTTGCGGTTGCTGGTGCCACAGCATTGCCTGTAGAGTTTCTTGCAGATAAAAATATAGTAAATTCTGTCACAAATACCTCTCTCAGTGTACAACTTGATTGGATGTGGTCGCACTTCAACTCCATTTGCTATAATGACCAAGGTATACGGTCATTTACGTTCCAAATTCACTTATTATGATGGCTAATATACAATTAGGCAAGGTCTCGTTCTTTTCACCTAAAATTCCCTTGTCTGAACTTATAGACCCCTAATCTAAACTCAATGAACTACAAATTTCCCGGAACATATTAGGTGACCATGTCATGCATACACACTTGACTAGCATCTGATAACACTGATCTAATTGAAATTGTTGAACAGATTATGCAGAAAAACTCAAGAATTCCCTATTTGCAGTTAGGGAAATAGGAAGCAATGACTATTACTATGCATTGTCACAGGGAAAAACGATGAAGGATGCCAATGGCATGGTTTTTTATGTTGTCCAAGCGATTATTGAAGGCATCAGAGTATGTTTGTTCTCCTAACAATGAAGTATGATTTTTTTTTTTTCTGAATTTTTATGCAATTATGTAATTTCAAAGTATTAAATTAGTATCATGTTATGTTGTTAAGAGGGTCATCCAAAGTGGTGCTACCAAGATAACTAAACTTTTATTTCGATTTTTGTTCGAGGTTTAGTGATTTTGTCACTTATCCATATATTGTATATTGCTTCTTACAATGCCCTTGTTCTTTGTTTTTAGATTCCAGAAGAGGCAATGCAAATTTTTCCAATCAAATGGCGAAGAGACAAATTGAATCCTCTCCACCGGGGAACTCAAATAGCGGGACATGTGGGAATGTGGAGAAATATGAGGCTGTTGATGTGGAAATGAATCAGATGGAGTCGTCTCCGGACAGTCCTCCATCGTCTGAAGTTAGCAAGGGCGTCGATGCTAAATGTCGTGAGCCAGGAAGCAGCTATGATGTGAGTTGTGTGCTTATCTCTTGTTGCTATACTATTTCCTTGATTTGTTGCACCTTGTTTACTCAATATTGCTTGAAATGACCTCTTGTTGGGCCTTAATCAAGTACAATGCTTGCAATAAATAATTAGTGTCCTGCATTGACACAATATCATTTCTGCCTATTCTTTGTGTATCATTATTGCCTACAACGGCTTCTTTTCTGGCATTGATAAAGTACAATACTTGCAATTGAAATTATTTCATTCTTGTCTGAAGTTTATTCGTTCAGCTACTTCAGTGTGAATCATCTTTTCACTTATTCCACGAAGGATATATTAGAGTTGAGCCTTATTCACTCATACCTGGAACTATTGAATTAAAAATTCAGGTATCATGGTTATTGGATGTGGGCTGCTATTAATTAATCTGTTGAAGCTCCTATCCCAGTGTTCCTTATGTATGCCTTGTTGGATAATTTGTCTCCTTGTGATGTCTGTAGATTACATATGTTACCATTAGAAAGGACATATATCTGTTACAAATGAGCAACTAGCTATTTGCTCATTTGCTAAATGAGCAAAAAATTTATTGCTCATTTCCCAAATGATCAAAGAAATATTTGCTTATTTTACAAATGAGTAACTAATTATTTGCTCATTTGACAAATGAGCAAACTAATGTTTGCTCATTTCACAAATGGGCAAATAAATGCTTGTTGATTTAATGAATGATTAAAAAAATGTTTGCTCATTTGACATCAACCAACTATTTGCACATTTGATAAATGAGCAACTAAGTTTTTGCTCATTTGTTAAATTAACAAATAAGTATTTGCTCATTTGACAAATGAGCAACTAACTATTTGCTCATTTGACAAATGAGCAACTAACTATTTTCTCATTTGACAAATGAGCAACTAACTATTTGCTCATTTTGTCAAAAATTAATATTTATTCTTTACTAATTTTTCAAAAATGAGCAAATAATGTCAAAATGAGCAAATAATTTGTCAAATGAGCGATTAATTTTTGCTCATTTATCAAATGAGCAAATGATTCTTGCTCATTTGTGAGTGTGTTTGAATGTTTTAAATACGTTAGTCTACTAGCTCAAGGGTAGAGCATTGTGCAAATGCACAAAAGATGTGGGTTCGAATCCCACGTAGGTTCGTTTATGTAATGTGGAGACACAAGTTTGTATGAGAGTTTAATTATAACAAATTTTATATAGTTATAAATCATTTCAAACCATTTTTTTGCTCATATAACTTAGTACAAATTTGATTTGTTACAACTTAAAGGTAGCGGTTTCTCCATGAACCCCTACCTTTTCTTCGGGTTTTTTTATTTAATTATAATATACTAAAATTTGAAATGTAACAAAATTAATATATATATATATATATATATATATATATGTATATATATATATAGACACACACACACTCCCAATTACAATAATGTGTATCTCGAAAAATTTCAACACTCTTCTCAAACCTACGGAGATACAAACAACTATATATATCTATACGAGTATATGACTATCCTAGCTGAATGCAAATGAAACACTGCTTAAAATAATAAATGCTGAATCATGAAGCAGAGAAGAAAGGAGAGCCAATCTCTAAGAGGTGCAAGAGAATGAGCTTCCCTTGAAGGGGATGATGAACTTGGAGTTGGACTAGTGGCAGGCCTTGCAATCTCCTTTGAGTAAGCATAGTTGCAACGACTTGGGCAAACAACTCTGTAAACTCCGGTGCTGGTTAGATTGAGAACATCTTTCTAGTTGTCCTGCGCAAAGGAATATATGTATCCCAGAGCTGGAAGTGTAGTTCCTATAGCCCGCACTGAAGTGGTGAGGCTTTTACACAACTAAACGACATTAATTGCTGCTGTGCTAAGGTTTTCACAGTTTGTTGGATTCTCAGTAGTTGCCCATATATTATTGCTTGCATATAGATCCCCATACAAGTACCTGAAACATCAACAATTATGAACTTAATATGCATGATGACAGCAGTTCTATTTGATTTTTTTGTGATTCCAATTCCATTCAATGCAAATCTATTCACACCCAAATCAAGCGAAAATAAAAAACAAGATCTAGAAAATAATGAAATCAAAGATACATTAAAAACCAAAATCATACCTAAAGAAGAACAATTGCTCGTCTATCACTGCATCATTGCAACTAAAGCACAGCTTAGCTAATAGTTAACAAGTATAACAACACAAGCTACTGCTGGGCTAGCGTGATGAAGATTAATACAGATGCTTATGTGTGTAAAGGAACTGAGGTTGGGGTTATAAAGATCGAGAAGGAATTATCCAGTTCTAGTTCTGAATAACTTGATTCTCCTGCATGTGAAAGATCAAGACACAAAGTAATTAGGTAGAAGCGAGCTGCATCCATTACATGAAAACCAAGCATCTAATTACATAAAGCAACATATATGAGCAAGCAACTTCTTTTAACACCAGACAAAACCAGTAGTATACTAAACATATGAGATTAGATCCAAAATTTCAGATGCTAAAAACATTTAATTCTTCAATACATGAATTGCTAAATAGGCAACATGAATGGCAGTAGAAAGTGAGTTAGGGCTTCACATGAACACTTGAACAGCCAAGAAGCTTAAACACCACCACATATAACAAACAGGAAAGTGAGGAAACCATCAAACTTATAAAACAATTTCAAGTAATTTCTGCAACATGAATGCCAGCAAAACTAAATTAGGGTTACTAATACAGTTTCGAGTGGTAAGAAATTTCTGGAAACATAAACCCCTAAAGTAACAACAAGAACGCAACAATGACACTCAAATTTAAAATAACAACACAAGAACGATTGTACCACAACAACACAACTTATTTTGCTCATTTTATAGTTGCTCATTTTTTTTTCGTATATGCTCATTTTATTCATTTTGCTCATTTTAATTATATATGCTCAATTTACATACCTTCAATTGAAACACTCAAATCAAAAATTGAGCTCATTCAACTGGACATAATAAGATTAACAGGCAATTGAATAGTTGGTAGGCGTGTCGCGTACCTATAAAAAATAACCTAACAGACCAATACTAATGTAGACTGGCAAGTAAGGGTCGGATCCCAAGAGACTAAGGTTCAGAAATAATTAAATAGACTCGAATTTCTACTAAGCAAGAATCAATTATAATCAATTATCTAAGGAACTAAGTGTGAGAAGAATTCGAAAATAAACTAAATGAGATGATTAAATCAAGTACTTAAAACATCCAAGATCTAATTTCACCACAATTATTATCGATGCAATTGTAATTCTACCCTTAACATACAATTTCAATTGAACGGGGAAAAGTAAACCCTAATAAATACCAAGGATCTCTCTCGAGTATCAATGGCTTCCCTAGCATACAATCAAGCCTATTCTCATGGTATCATGCATATTAGAGACATTAAACACATTACTCTCACTTCCCAATTATCAAACCCAACTACTCTCGTGTTGAGAATCAAACCCTAAATTGATTTACTCAAATCCGTTTATACCCAACTCTCGCTGTGATAAAAACAATGGAATAATCGCAATACTATAGTTACGTCTAACCTAGCATTGGCATAATCACAATCAATTTAGCAATTCAATTGTTAAAGTTATTAAAGAATTTAAAGATTTAATTCATGCATCAATAATAATAGGGCTACACTAGATCTTGAATTATTGAATCTACTCACACATGATTAAAGAAACAAAAACAATAATAAATAATGAAAACATAATTAAATAACAAAGGATGAAAAATAAATACCAAATCTTGAATAAAATTGAAAGTAGAAAGCTTGAATCTTGAATCTTGAATTACAATAACTTGGAAAATAATAATGGAGATAACTAGGTTTTTTAGCAATGTAAAACTAGGCTAATAGAAACTTAATCAAATAATAAAACACCACTTAGTAAAAATACAAGCCTAGAAAAGATAAGAAAATCGGCAAAAGGCTTGGCGCACAAGAATCCCAGGAGGCACGGACGTGCCTCTCCATAGGCACGGACGTGCCTACCTGCGTGCATAAACTTGGGTAGCTTCTGAATTCCAGGCACGGACGTGCCTGATGATGGGCACGGACGTGCCTCCCCTACTTCGCGTATCACTCATCTTAAATCAGTCATAACTTTATATTCGGAGCTCCGTTTGAGGCGTGTAATATATTGTTGGAAAGGTCTTCAAGTATACTTTCCAATGCAATTTGAATCACTCCATTATCATTTGTATATAAAAAGTTATGAGCATAATAGTGAACAGGTTTCATATCTGTCAAGTATTTCATCAACGTTTTGCTTCATTTTCACTCAATTAACTCCGTTAATCCTGAAATACATCAAAAACAACGAAACTACCCATAAAAGCATCGAATCATCGAAACTAAACCAAATTACACCAAAATGGACTAAAACACTCGACTAAGCTAATAAAACCAACTAAAAACAAGCTAAATAATATACACAAAACACGACTTATCAATAGTTCTTAAATACTCAAATCAAAAATTTCTCATTGAATTTTAACGAATTTAATCTAATAATTTAACGAAAATTATCCAAAATTTTAACGAAAATAATTTGAATTGAACAATTTGAAATTCTCAAACACTAAGATTAACATGCAATTGAAAATTTTTGATGCTAAGATCACTCATTGCTAAAATTTTAACGAAAATCCAAAATTCAAACCATGAAATTCGAAAATACTGACAAAAATTAAGAAAATTACATTCGGAAAAAACTAACATAACTTTTGTTGATTATTTACCTGTATAATCTATGAAGCTTGTTGATTCTTGTTGTTGCTGAAATCTGACAAAAATCGAACGGAATTGTGTTCAATATTCTTGAATCTCATTGAAATTGAAGCTCGTAGTTCTTTGCTCTATTTTTCTGAGTAGCAGCAGTATATCATTTGATATCAAAAGTTTGGATTTATTAGAGTCGTTGATATCGTTTGATCCTAAGGCTTAGATTTGTTCTCATATATTAGGAGTGTTCTCACATAAAGGGTGGTTCTCACCGGATCCCGACCCTATATATATATGGGATCATATGAAACCACATCCCTTATGTGAGAACCCTAATATGTGAGGACATATTTCAACCGTTGGATCAATTGCATCCAATGACTACAATTTATCCCAATTAAACATAATTTCAAAAACAATTTTCAAGCGTTTTCTCTCTCCTCCTTCATTCGACACTCCATTTTCTCTCTCCTCCTTCAATTTCTCTGCTCCCTTTCAACTGCTATTTGCTTTGATTCTTCATCAATTTATCTTCAAACTTCATTGATTCTTTGTCAAGGTGAGCTTCGTTGATTTTAGTTTGATTTTCGTTGATTTCTATATGGAGAGTTATTGATGTTGCTCTATATGAGAGAGTTGTCATCAGGATTTTCCCCTTCACTATGTTATCTAACAAGTATTATTATTGTGCGATTTAGATGATAACAAAGAATTTTGAAGATTATCTAGAGCATCGACTAAATTTCTTTTCATTACTTCGGGCAATTGCTACTCATTGTTTTGCTGCATTGATTCAACTGTCACCTTAGGTTGTTTTTATTGTTAATGTTATTATTGTTTTGTCTTTTGCTAAATTTGGGGGTTTTTTTGGCTAATTTTTGTTTTGATTTTTTACTTAATTTGTGAATTTGTATTGTTGTATTGTTGTTGTGTGAATTTAGGGGTTGTTGTGGGATGAAAGAGTAGGGGGTTTAAAATGGTTCGGGGTGTGCGAGGTTGTAATGAGGTGAGGGTTAATCTGAACGGTATTGTGGTGGGGCAGAAGGGTGTTGATGTTCCGTAGGGGTTTGTTGTTGGTGTGGATCATGTCATATTAGAGGTTATACTTCCTGCAGTGCTGCAGAATTGGTTCTATATAATTAATATAGGTGTGGATGTGTGGTGTAATGTTAAAGTAACTGCAATGGCATTCATACAAGAATATGTAAAACTACCAGGAAAAATATCAGGTTAAACACCGCCTTTTAAGTGCTAGAACAGTTTGCCATCAAAGTTTACTAAAGTTTACAGAAAATTGAGGATATAATACAGCAATAACTTACCGTGTATAGCAACTTAGCAAGTTGTTATTCTTGTAAACGTGCCATGATGAAGATAATTGGAGGTGATTTTGACAAGCTGCTAAATTAGTGTAGGCATCTCAAAAGGGAAATATTGGCATTGTCTTAGCAACAAATTGATATGTACGTACCATTGTCAAATTCTATACAAGACCGCGATGCAACTCAAAGAGTACCCTTATGCCTTGTTGTTCCATAGATGCTAACATCCCTCCTAGTTGCCATTTTTTCTCATTGTCCTTTCCATATTCTTCGTGTTCACATGAACTAATTATGACCTCAGAGCAGCCTCGACACCAACAAGTGGCTGATGCTTCTAAAAATAGGTAGTTTCTGCAGGTGCTTCTAGTTGATACATACTCTCCCAAACTCTTCTTCTGCCATCCGAAACAGCTCTCTAAACACCTCGCTCTTCAGATATGACAAAGAGATCATAAACCGTTTTCCATCTATAGTATACACAACAAAATGACCTTTTTGTTCATTTAAACAATTCAATGCTCATTTGTTAAATGAGAAAATAATTGTTTCCTCATTTGAACAATTCAATGCTCATTTGTCAAATAAGCAAATAATTGTTTGCTCATTTGTCAAATGAGCAAATAATTCATTGTTCAAATGAGTAAAAAAATATTTGCTCATCTGTCAAGTGAGCAAATAATTGATTGCTCATTTCACAAATGAGCAAAGAATTACTTGTTGATTTAATGAATGATTAAAGAAATGTTTGCTCATTTGACAAATGAGCAACTAACTATTTTCTCATTTGACAAATGAGCAACTAATTTTTTGCTCATTTATTAAATTAGAAACTAAGTATTTGCTCATTTGACAAATGAGCAACTAATTATTTGCTCATTTGACAAATCAGCAACTAACAATTTGCTCATTTGCTAAATGAGTACAAAATTGATTGCTCGTTTCCCAAATGATCAAAAATTTGATTGCTCATTTCCCAAATGATCAAAGAAATGTTTGCTTATTTTACAAATGAGTAACTAATTATTTCCTTATTTGACAAATGAGCAAACTTATGGTTGCTCATTTCACAAATGAGCAAAGAAATGCTTGTTGATTTAATGAATGATTAAAGAAATGTTTGCTCATTTGAGAAATAAGCAACTAATCATTTGCTCATTTGACAAATGAGTAACTAAGTTTTTGCTCATTTGCTAAATGAGCAAAAAAATCGATTGCTCATTTTCCAATTGCTTATTTTACAAATGAGTAACTAATTATTTGCTTATTTGACAAATGAGCAAACTAATGGTTGCTCATTTTACAAATGAGCAAAAAAAAGCTTGCTGATTTAATGAATAATTAAAGAAATGTTTGCTCATTTGACAAATGAGCAACTAACTCTTTTGCTCATTTGTACGAACTATATGTTCAATAAATAATATCCAAAGATCCATATGATTCAATGATAGAATCAATTGCTGCAAGTTTATTTAATAGCTAATTTGCTCAACTTCATAACATTCCAATGACTAATGAAATCAATCTGATAAACAATAAGTAATGTGATTTTGTAGTTTTATTTTACTGCTTCATTTTTTTTCTCTTCCTCCTTACACTTTTGATTTGTTTGCAGGTCATAATCATTGAAAAATTTCGTTCAAAGTATATAGCCTCTCAATTATTTCAAGTGAAGTAAATGCTATTGAATCTGTTAAACAAATCGGTCAAAAGAAAAAAAAAGGTTGAAGAAAGCTAGTGTTGCAACTTAAGAAAGCTAGTTGTCAATGATATGATCGTAGTAGCATCCCCAAGGGGAAGCAATCCAAGAGCATTCATGGTAGAGAAGACTGAAGTTGATATGCTTTTTATTGGTTACTATTTTGATGTTATTAGTTACTATTTGTGTCCTTGTTTGCATTAGACAAGTTGACTTTAGGAAGAATCACATTTTGTCAAAAATTAATATTTATTCTTTACTAATTTGTCAAAAATTAGCAAATAATTTGTCAAGATGAGCAATTATTTTTTGCTCATTTGTCAAATGAGCAAACTATTTAATGCTCATTTGTCAAATGAGCAAATGATTCTTGCTCATTTTGTCAAATTAATGCTCATTCGTGAGTGTGTTTAAGTGTTTTAAGTACGTAAGTCTACTAGCTCAAGGGTAGAGCATTATACAAATGCACAAAAGATGTGGGTTCGAATCCCACGTAGGTTCATTTATGTAATGTGGAGACACAACTTTGTATGAGAGTTTAATTGTAACAAAGTTTATATAGTTATAAATCATTTCAAATCATTTTTTTGCTCATATAATTTAGTACGATTTGATTTTTATTTTTTTAATTAATTTTGTTTATAGAGATAACCTATATAAGAATTGAACCTACATCCCCTATGCATTTGCATAGTGCTCTACCAATTGAGCTATTAGATTTATCATATGTTTTAAATCATTTTCTATGTTATAAATTTTTAATCAGCTCATTTGATAAATCAACAAAGAATTGTTTGCTCATTTGATAAAATGAACAAAGAATTATTGCTCATTTGATAAATGAGCAAAGATTTATTTGCTCGTCTGATAAATGAGCAAAGATTTGTTTGCTCGTATGATAAATGAGCAAAGAATTATGTGCTCATTTGACGAATGAACAAAGAATTGTTTGCTCATCTTGTATATGGACAATGAATTTTTGCTCATTTGACAAAATGAACAAAGAATTGTTGCTTATTTATCAAATGAGCAAAGAATTGTTTACTCGTTTGATAAATGAACAAAGAATTGTTTGCTCGTTTGATAAATGAAAAAAGAATCGTTTGCTCGTTTGATAAATGAAAAAAGAATCGTTTGCTCGTTTGATAAATGAACAAAGAATTATTTGCTCATTTTGACAAAATGAACAAAGAATTGTTTCTCATTTGATAAATGAACAAATAATTGTTTGCTCATTTGATAAATGAGCAAAGAATTGTTTGCTCATTTAAAAGAATTGTTTGGCTCATTTGATATGTTACACAGACATTTGACAGCTTCTGAAACATGATTAACATATTGTACCAAATGCACAAAGAAAATGATCTATGCTAGTGAAGTATTTAGTTAGTAGTGTTAAGCAAGAAATGTGTTAGTTATATAGAAACCCAAATACAAAAACTTTTCTTGGAACGGAGCAGCAAAATCATACCAGTAGAATTGGCAGAATTAGAACTTTCAGAAGAATTTCTGAAATGCAGTGTCAGCTGTATGCAGCTGTCTCTATAACCATCTTGAACTGCAATACAATCTTCATTACTATTTCATGTTCCTTTCCCACACGAGTGTTGCGATCAATTATTATACTAATGCTACCACGACTTTCTTGTGTACTAAGCAGTTGTATCTTCCTTGATTGACACTGCTTGTGTAGCTTGGCATCAGAAGTAGAAGTACTGCAAGTATGTATACAGCAGGAAGCATAATTAACTTATAACTTACAAAAGTTTGAAGTTAAGCTGGAAAAGGAACACCTATTATTTGATCAAGAGGAAGTTGCCTTAGCTAATTCGTGCTAAAAATTTCGGACACTGCATAAATCATATTACAATTATAAGACATGTATAAGAATTGAACAACGATATAGTTGAGCAGAAAAGGATACTGTTATTAGTGGAAAATACTATATGCATTGAGCAGAAAAGGAACCATAAGCAAATAAAATGAATAAAATCGGAGTATCAACATATGTTACAACTCAGCAACACATACCTTTGTGGAGGAATCATTTGGGGCATCATGAACCCTTGTGCTCCATAAAAATTTGGAGAAATAAAATCGCCGAAAAACATATCCGCAGATCCTAGACCATACCTCATGTTGTAAGGCATGTTACCACCATAAGGGCCCATAAATCCATTAACAGCAGGTTGCATGGCTCTCTAGTAAGGATTAAAATGCAGTATTACACATGTTTTCGTCCATACCAGGCATACTCATCCATTGCATGCCTGCAATTATAAATTTTTGTAATCAAAATCGCACAATTTTGATTTAAAATTCGAATTAAATCATAAACAACAACGAAAATCAAAATCAAAATCAAATTAACTTACAGTGCCTTAAGTATACAAGAACAGCAGAAGATGATGAAAATTTTATGATGTTTCGAATTTTCCCAATCGAAAATCGCATAACCAGATTATGGCAAAAAACCTAATTTTCGAAATCAAAACCGCAAAAACATGTTTCAAAATCGATCAAATTCAAAATTAAACTGAAATTTTACATACTTTAATTTAACAGATTATCGTGAGAAATTGATGAGCAAAAGCAAGGAAATTGAAGAGCGAAGAAAATCAGAGAACCTGGAGGAAGAAAGAGAAAATCTAAAGAGGAGAAAGAAAATCTCAGTTGTTGGATTTGATCTAATCTAGCGGCTGAGATCTGTCCTCACATAAGCTGTGAGTTCTCACATAAAGGATGATTCTCACCGGATCCGGACCCTATATATATATAGTTGGGATTCGGTGAAAAATATGCTTATTGTGAGAAGATGAAAACTAGAGATATGCCAAAAGTGTATTACAGATACATTGAATGTAGAATATAGATACATCAAAAATACATTATAGATACATCAAAAATACACTATAGATATATTATAGATACTTTGAAAATACATTATAGGTACATAAAAAATAATTTATAGATACATTGAAATTATATTATAGATACATTCCAAGTTCATTATAGATACATTGAATAAATCAAAGGGAGTTAAAAATCAATTTTTATTTATCTTCTGTTGGCTGTGATAAATTTTCATACGGAATTACAACATTATTAGTAGGACTGTAGGAGTCTTTTGCTCCAATCAACATACTCATCTACTCTCCACTATCCACTTCATCAATAATCTCCACCTGAATACGAACTTCTAATAAATAAACCAAATATTATAAACAAAATCAAAACAATAGGTACATTAATTAATTTCTACGGTTACATTAAAAACCAATATCATATACATTAGAAACAATATCATATACATTACAAAAATGATTATTATAAGTGTGACTAATTAAATCAAATCAAATAATTATACAACCTATATCATAATTAGAATGTATATGAAATAATTTGGTGAGTAAGTCTTAGAAAACAATATTAGATACAATATAAATAAACAACATTGGTTTGGAGATATATCAAAAATCATATAATTAAGCAAAAGAGGGAAAATCAAAACCTAGATTGACTACAGCGATTTACGACAATAAATCGATTATCCCTACCAAAATTCAGCAATCAAACTAAGTTTATAATGAATTTAACAATCTCAAAATATTATTCGTACTACTCTATCAATTTATCATAATTATGAAATTAATAAAAAAAAATTGAAATATGATTTCAAAACTTTTACCTTTAATGTAGTCTCTGTAATTCACAATCAACGAAATATGCAGATTCTTAAGCTAATGTAATGTGATTGAATATTTGAGAGAAATTTGAAGTATAATTACAGTGATGGAGCTTTGAACAAGAGAGAGAAAGGTATGAAGTAGATAGAGAAAGTTACGGATAAAGGCAATAAAAAGGATGAAGATCACGTGTTTTTTTCCTCTAATCTCCACCGTCCATACCTTGATCCAATGGTTGAGGTTACTTCTCACCTTAAGGGTATATATATATATATATATATATATATATATATATATATATATAATGATTTATGAGGAACATTTTGGTAATGACACCAAATTATAATTCAAATTGACTAGTCTTCTGAGTCTTAATACTAAGGGACAAAGGGAGTACGATAAAGGTTGAGCTTATCTTCTTTTCGTCCTAGCTTAGTAGCTGCGTGGCTGCGCCTAGACATGTGATTGGGTTGCTGCTTGCATTGGGCCCCGTAAGTGCTATATTCAACAATCGTAATTTTTAGGCTTGGAATTTGGCAAATGTTGTTAAACTAGGACAGCTGAAAGGCAGGCCCAAATACTAAGATAGCTCTAATAGTCTAATGCTCTAAGGAACATGCACGCTACTTTGATGTGCCCAAATACTAAAATAGCAATAAGTCCTTAAAATAGGTGCACCACTGTCTATAAAATGAACATGTAGTAAAAAAATATGAACACGTAAAAATAAATGAACATTCAGCAATAAAAAATGAAGACATAAAAAAAATGAACACTTAGTACTTAAAAAGTGAACATGTTAAAAAAAAAAAAGATAATTTAGTATTAAAAATAAACATGATAACCATAAAATTGCTGGGCCACGACCTTAAAAATGAACATTTAGTGTAAAATTAATTATGAACACGTAAAAAAAAAAGAACATTTATTAATAAAAAATGAACATGTCAAAAATAATTATGAACATTAGTATATTAAAAATGAACATTTATCATACAATAATAGAATAGCTAGATCACACCTAATAAAATGAACATTTCATAAAAATATATGAACATATTAAAGAAAATGAACTTTAAGTATAAAAATAAAATGAATATGTGAAAAAAATTATGAACATTTAGTATATTAAAAATGAACATGATTTTTTTATATTCATATAAATTCAAATTCATTGTATATAAATATATAATTATTAATGAAAAATAAAGATAAAATAAATCATTAAAATATGTTCAGTTTTTATTTACTAAATGTTCATTTTGTACTAAATGTTCAATTTTAAAGTACACCGTGTTCATTTTTTTTTTCCAAAAATTATACACAAATATTAGCAACTCAATTGAAAAAATCAAAATTCATAATAACAAACAAATTATAGATGTAGCAACTCAATAATTTATCACAAATAATCATTAATTAAATTGACATTCATAAAAAATTCAAAAATTCAGTTGAAATAGTCTAATTCACTAGATTTATCAAAAAGTCAATTGAAATTCATCAAATTCCTCAATTGAAAATCACCAATTATAAAATCAGAAAAATCAATTACAAATTCAGCCCAAATCTAACCTAATAAAAAATCAACAACACAAAAACTAACCTACATTGATGATCTCTTTTGAATAACAACCAAATCCATAATAATGTAGAAAACAAAGGAAAAAGAAAATGGTGACGATCGTGACGAAGATGATGGAAATGCTACAATGGTGAGGAATTGGAGAATATCCAAAGTAGGAGGATAAAGAAGTTTAAAGATGTTGAATAATTTTGAGAATTGTAGACATACTTCATGTTAATTGATTAATTTGCTTAGGTTATGATGTTGTGAATTAATTAATCAAGATTATTAGAGGAAATGTCCTTGGTTGAAAGGATAATAATATTCTCGATAAAGAGAAAACTCAACTCGGTCAAGAGGAATCAAGGAAGCTACCTGGTCAGCCACCCGAACGGGCCTCCGCGGCCCTGTCGGGCGCGAGGGTGAAACCGTGATGCAGCTCCACCGCATGACCAGGCAACCGTCGCCCTACCGGGCACGAGAACGGAGAAGGGAATGAAGTTTTCTACCGCCCGGATCTGGGTTTCATCACCCTACAGGGTGCGAGATGGCCAAAAGAAAGTTGCTGGGTGTTCGCCCAATCGGGCCGCCACCGCCCAGCAGGGCGCGAGAGTGAGTTTCTGAAACTTCGTTCTCTCGCCCACCAGGGCAGCCACCGCCCGACTGGGTGCGTGTGTGGTCTGGTTTGAAATTGACGGTTTCCTTTGTTGGTGTTTGTACGGTTTGGCTGTTTTGTTGGCTCTAATATACATATGTAAAAAGTACATATGTTGAAATAACTTCAAGAAATCAGTTTGGATTCTTATTCTCTTGAAACCTTTTGCACCCAATTATCGTCATCATAATTTATTAAAGTTTTGATTACATTAGACCACAAATATACTACACACTATTGTGGTTGTTTTCGTTGTATCTCCTAGTAATTTCGTGATACCTGATGTGTTTAATCAGAGTCGAAATATTATTTTGAGAAAGTGATTTTGTTCATGCCTCGAAGTGTAAATTTGTTCAAGTTCGTTGCGATTTTTGTGACCCGGTACTCGATTTTTTCCCCAACAAAAGATTGAAGGAAAGTGAGGTAAGAAAGAAAATTTACTTATAAAGAAAGGAAGGGAAAAAAAATAAATAAATAAAAATAAAAATAAGAGGAGAGAGAAATTTTTAATGGAGAAGAAAACAGAGAGAGAAAATTAATGGAGGTAAGGAAGAAGAATAGAGAGGTAAATATAAGGAAGGGAGAAAAACGTATATTCGTTTTTGAAGTACTATATGTTCATATATAAGGTTGTTGCAGCTAGCTTAGCTGCACAAGTGTGTAGCTAAGAATTTGCTCTAATGCTCTAAGGAATATGCAAGCTACTTTGATAGGCCCAAATACTAAGATAGCTCTAATGCTCTACAGAACATGCAGGCTTGATTTTTTTTTATTTTTTATTTTATATATATTTTTTTTGAAACGAACTACTTTGATTTGTTATTTCTTACAACATGTTAGGTGAGACGAACTCTACAAGAGGGGGGGGGGGTGAATTGTAAGTGAGTTCCTAATGACTACTTTTGCAGAATCAAAACAGAATAATAAAGGAACTTGCAATGCACACAAGATTTTACGAGGAAACCTTCCAGGACCCAACTGGAAGTAAAACCTCGACCCTCCAAGGGATTTCACACAAAACCAATCCACTATAATAGGCAACACACCTAGTTACAACCTATTAAACATAGACCTTTACTCACAAGTTCCATACTGAACTTGCTACACAGTAGAACTCTATTATACCCAACCTAAGTCCTTGACTTAGATTCTCTCAGCACTCCCGGAGTACTCACACACTCAGCTTCAACCTTGAAACTTACAATCTATATGCAATAGCTAAACACTCACCCCAGTACCAAAACAATACAAACCTTTGACTCTAATATTTGATTGGAAAGCTACACATGAAATCCGAGACTAATATAACAAAGTTTAGACTTGGCAAACTTACACTTTTCGTACTTTTAGATTTTTCACGCATAAACTCACACGTTGTGTAGATTATGAATTCTACTTTATATACAAGTTGTACTCGTGTATAAAGTAGGGTTTTGAAAAGATAGAAATTTATAAACTACCGTTTTCATAATCATAACACTTAAGTATTTTAGAAGAAAATCTTTTGGAAAACTTAACAAAGACATAATTTTAGAAAAGAATAATATTTTGTAAAACCTGGATTTTATAAGATAAATCTCTTGAAAATATTTTCATAAAATTAAAACTTATCTTTTATAAACTTTCCATATTTTAAAGCTTGTCAAGTTTTGCCACGCCTCTGATAAATTTCATGCATAAACTAACCTTAACATATTTACAACAATCCTTAGAAGAATAAACTTAACAAATGACTTTTAATTTAAAGCTGGATTGTTTCATCAATCGTTGTAACGTAAGGATACTTAGGCTTCACGCAAACCAGGACCAAGTTCCTACTGTCTTCCATTCTCCAGCTCCTTGCTGGAACTCGCATGCCAAGTTCTTATGGAACTTGCTGTCTTCAACGCAGTCCAAACTGATCTTCTCAGCTTGCTGTTAAGCTCCTGTTAGGGAACTTCTTTTCGTGCTCCTGTTAGGGATCATAACTAGTTCCGGTGAGGAACTTTTCTTCTACTTTCTTTAACTTTCCTTTAGATCTTCTTGAGTCTTCGCATGAATAAGTTACTCTTCCACTTTCAAAGTCAATTTTACCTGTTCTAATCAAACACTTAGAGAAATCGCATTAGTTGAAGTTTGCTTTTGTTCATCATTATCAAAACCCTTAAGCTTCTACACAATCTCATTTAAAATACTTCCTCCATATTTTATATAAATCACTTTTAAAATTACGGATTTCTAAGTTATTTTGGAGATGAGAGAGATAGAGAGAAAACAATTTTTTTTAAAAAAAAAAAATTGGACCAAGTGATATGAAAAGGATATAAAGGATTACTAAAAAGAAAGTGATACATTTAATTTGAAACTTCCAAATACCGAAAGTAACGTTTCTAAAAAAACAAAGAAAATACTAACTTTTAACTCTATTTATTACATTGGCACAAAATTTAATAATCAAGTACTCAAATTTAAGTATGTTTGAACCATTATATTAACAATTTTGGGCTTGGATGACTTGTGTCTATGCTTGGGTAGCCTAATTAGCCTCTTGAATCAACTACAAAAAAAGGATGATCATTATCAAACCAATGAAGACTTAGAGATATTGCCAAAGAAGCAAAATTTATTTATATGCGTATTAGTGGTATAAAGTTGATGTTGCTCCATGCACCAATGCTAGCGTGTCTATCCAACTACAAACAGGTTTTCATATCAAATAATTAGAAAATTAATTTTCATATCAAATATTTACTGACATACTTTCTCAATCTCTCTCTTTTTTTTTTTTTTTTTTTGCACAACCCACTTTTAATGAGATCTTTATGAGTCGTACTAGAAAAAAAAAAAAAAAAGGGACAGAGAGAGTATTATGTTCAAACTAGATCTATTTTCATTAAAAAAATTACATTTTCTAATTATTTAATTGAGTGTTAAGTAGCTAATAAAAACTCTGTCCATCCGGATTTAATTATATGTCGCTTATTATCTATTCAAATTACATTATGAATGCTTTTTGAGGGTGTAATACTAATTAACCAATCACTTGTTATGGTTGTCTCCATCAGTATCAAAGATGATATAGTACGTGCTGTCCATTTCTCTAACCTTGATAATAAAACGATTATCATCGATCTAAGCCATTTGAAGCCACTAATAAGCACCAACTAGTAGAGCCACTTATCTAAGTAAGCTTAGCCAAATATGTCAATATGTGTAACGTGTGATAGATGTGTCCTCTCTGATAACTACCACGTTGGTGTTATAGCCACTAATACAAACCCCTTGTTTGATTATGCCAATCAACATCAATCTTAAATTATATCTATAATCTACTATAGTATAGTTTATCATTTATTTGGGGCTGTAATTCATTGATCATTAACATTAAACCATATCCTATATAAGTATAACATACTTACCGTTCTTTAAATTTTGTCCTATCATATTGTAACTATTAAGAGTTGTATTGTGTGATTATGTATATATTTAGCTTATAAAATAGTAATAAGATTAGAAAAGAATTGCACTACGTATTTAAATATGATTCCATTTTTTACATTATGTCGATCATGAAATTTCTAGGATAAAAAAAAAAAAAAAAAGGAACAATGTTTAAAGGACGGAGGGAATTCGATGCAAGTATAATATTACGAGTACATAATAAGAACAAAGAGAAATACTTGGCTAACCTATAACCATTCATCCACCACCCACACGTGCCACCTTTTAAGCCCACATGAGTCGCCCCTTATAGATAAAACCATCTCCTCCCATGCAATAACAGCCCTCTCTTTTCTCCGAACTAAATAATTAATAAAGGAAAAACAAAAATTCTCCAATAACTAATTTTTCTTAAGTGAGGAGAGATTATGGGGTGTGCAACATCTAAGAAAGTAGATGGTACAGCCCCGTATATCTACCGTCCACCACCATCAAGTTTCGCGGTGTTCGATATCAACGCCATTGAAGAGCCTTGGCTTAAGCTAGATAATGCTGCACAATTAGATGATCAGCAGAAATCTTCGCACGTGCCAGCTCACGTGCTTGAGAAGCTCGACACGTTTGAGAAGGAAGCCTCTGACGGGCCTCGCACGTGGGAGGAAGTCAGCAAGGAATTGTTGGAAGAAAATCTCAAGAGGCCCGCCGCTGCTAAGCCGAAGCCCGACCCGAACCCGAATCCAGGCCCGAACTCGGGTATTAAGATGAACTTCTCGTTTCATACGCTTGAGGAATTGGAAACGAAGAAGTATGATGATACGAAGCAGATGAAAGCTGAGTCGACTCAGGACGAGTCGTCAGGGAATAACGAAGCGAAGAAGCAGCTGAATCGGTTGAGGAAGTCTGGGTTGACCCGAGACGAGTCGGAGTCGTTGGAGGTTCAGGTTCCGGTTTCGGGTAAGATTGGCGGTTCTTTGAAGGCCAACCCGTTTATACTGAGAGACAGGTTGGAGAAGGAAAAGGAAGGAAAAGAAGCGGTGTTTGATAAGATAATGAAGAGTAAAAGGGACCCTCTTAGCGACTTTCCCGAGATGTGCCCTCCTGGTGGAGCCCACTTAGTGGTGCTCTATACGACGTCGTTGGGTGGAGTAAGGAGGACTTTTGAGGATTGTAACCGAGTTAGGATGATCCTAGAGAATCATCGTGTCGTGTTTGATGAACGGGACGTGTCGTTACACGCCCCATTTCTAGGGGAGTTGAAGGAGTTAGTGAGCAACGGGGATGGGGCAGGAGTCCCCTGCCCCGTCCCCGTGCCGAGGTTGTTTGTGAAAGGAAGGTACTTAGGAGGAGCGGAGGAGGTGGTGGAGCTAAACGAATCGGGGCGACTTGGGAGGATAATGAGTTCGGCACGAGTAGAGAGGGGGCTTGGTTGGCAAGGATGTGAAGGGTGTGGTGGGGCAAGGTTCGTGCCTTGTATGGAATGTGGAGGGAGTTGCAAGAAGATAGTTGGAGATGAGAAGGAAAGGTGTCCCAAGTGTAATGAAAATGGGTTGGTTCATTGTCCTCTTTGCCACAAATGAAGTCAAAGATAAGTGTGTTAAAGATGTTAAGAAAAATGTTTAGATCACAATTAATCTTTTAATTACTACTAGTATGATCGAGAGTACAACAACATATTAATTAGGTTGCCTACTCTTTACATAAGTTTTTTCCTTCTTTTTTTTGGGAAACTTTTTACATAAGTATTATTACCAATATGTTGTAGATTAAGATTGTGTAGGAATGTTAAATTTGGTATCTCTCGTCTAAAATTTTGTCATTTTCATACGGAGTGTTCGTTACCGTTTTATGTATATGGCTCCAAGTAAAATGGAAATACACAAAATGAACTTTTGTACTTCGTAGAACTTTAATTTTAATTACCTGGAGGACTTCTACTGAAATTCTTGTCCTAAAAGTTTCATTATACTAAAAAGTTGTCTTTAAATAAAAGGTTTGTTCATCTTTATTTGGCCTTTATTCAATTTAACTTTTTTAATATTAACTATCTAAAACTATATACAGAGGCTCCTAAAACCTCAAATATTACATGTCACTTTCAAAATAAAAAAAACCTTCTCCCTTTTTTCCCCCTAAATAAAGATTCATTAAGTGTAATTTATTCTATTTATATATGAAAACAACACTCATATTATTCCAATATTACAAAATTTACAAATGATTGTCATACATTACACATAATTGTGATATGTGAAATATAGCAACAAATTACAGTCCCTTAATAATCTAATATATATATATATATATATATATATATATATATATATATATATATATATATATATATATATATATATATATATATATATATATATATGCCATGTAGGATTATGATTTTGCGCTACGTAGGATTAAAATGCGCTATGTAGGATTGCAATTTAAAGTGTGCCACGTATGATAATAACTATTAAAAAAATTAACATAATAATTAATGTTTATCAAATAAGAAAAAAACTTTAAAAATTAATCCTTTTAAAATGTAGGATTGCAATTTAAAGTGTGCCACGTAGGATAATAACTATTAAAAAAAATTAACATAATAATTAATATTTATCAAATAAGAAAAAAACTTAAAAAATTAATAGGATTGCAATTTAAAGTGTGCCACGTAGGATAATAACTATTAAAAAAAATTAACATAATAATTAATGTTTATCAATTAAGAAAAAAAAACTTAAAAAATTAATCCTTTTAAAAAAAAATTTAATCTTTATCATTATTATTAGGGATGCACGGCAATTGTGAATGTATATTGCCTGTCTAACGTATAAGATTATTATTTTTAAGAAAAAAACTTAAAAGTTTAATCCTTTAAAAAAAATCCTTATCATTAATATTAGGGATGCACGGCAATTGTGGCATGGTTTTCTCAAATCTTCTATACTATATATACGGCAATTATTATTAGCGATACACGACAAGATAATAATAAATTTAAATAATTATTTATTTCAATAATTATTTATTTATTAGATAATAATGATACCAGCCATACGTATCATATATTTCAATAGTTTTATTAAGAAAATAAATAACGTTGTTGATGATAATAATAAAATAAATATATCGCATAGCCTTTTATGATTGTTGATTATGATGCACATTGTTGCATGGATAAATTTTTGGACTATTAAGAATTTTTAAAATTATAATTTGAAAAATGATAAAATTTAAGTTAGGAAAAAAATATGAATTGATTTTATTAGTTTATGATTTGTTATTATTATAAATAGGAATTAATTTAATTCACACACCACCAAAGAATCACACAATACTTCATACAAAACAATTTAGGATTTTATATTGTGATTTAAAAAAATGTTGGTCTAATTCCTTAAACTCAATTTTTTTTTTTCAAATTGTAGTTATTGGTAATATTATTTTTAACTATCTTTTTTATTGCATTGTTTTCTTAGGTCTATTTCGTCGATTTGAGGAATTAATTCTTCCAAAAATGATTTGAAAATTAAAGTACGTGTATCAAGGCTTTTTGATGTTTTGAACTTTCGGAACATAATAGTTTGATTAGTTTGGACATAGTTTTAATAATTGACGAAGAGGTATGCCTTTAATTTTTTATTTATTTTATTTTATTTTATTTTATTTTATTTTATTTTATTTGATCATAGTTATTCGTTTTAAATCCATTGAATAATATATAATATTTATTATTTTAACTTACAATATTATTTTTCATGTGCAGGGTGATTATGTCCATGCTTCAATCAAAGGAAAATTTGTCAACAATTTCGTTCAAAACTAATTGAAGGCAAAGTTTACACGATTCGATATTTTTCCATTGTACCTAACAAGAATGAATATCGTGTTGTGAGCGATAACAAGATTATGATATAATTTTTTCAAAATACAACTGTCAAGGGCGTTGCAGATAATAATAAAATTTCATCATAGATTTGATTTTGTTCAATTGCAACATTTAGATTAGTTCCGTAGTAATGCAACACTTCCTGGTATATATTTTCATATTTTCAATTTTTATTATTTTAAAAATTCTATAATATTATCATTTGTTTTACTAATCCCTTTTTTTTTTTTTTTTTTTTGTATATCACTTTATCTTACAAGATGTGGTTGGTATGGTTGTAAACGAAGTTGGAGATTCAATTGAAATAGAAGACAAATGGTAATCATTATTTTAATATATTTGTATATATTATTATTATCAATTACAATAAACTAAGATTTGTTATTTTAAAATAATTTATATTTGATTAATTTTTTATTTATTAGTAAATTATTAGTATTTGGATATCATAGTTAGGGGACAACGAATTCAATTAAAGATTTGGGATAATGTATTTCCTGATTATTCAAGACAAAAAGACCTACTTGTTGATTCTACTAAGCCTTTTGGTATAGTTGTTAATTCAACAATGGTCAAATATTTTAATGGTAAGTATCATATATTAGTCATTATAATAACTTTTTTTTAATATGTACAACTAATAACCTAATTTACCACGGTCATGTTCATTTATTATATTTACTATTTTGTTTACAGGAAAAATTAATCTAAATACTTCTGCATCAACCAAAATTTATATTGATCTTCAAATTTCCGAGGTTAATGAATTGAAATCTTTAAGGAGGTATGTTGTTTCAATAATTTTAATTTTTATGCTATTCTTTCTACATAGATACATCTCTTATATATGATCATTATAATGTAGTGAGAATTTAGATAATGCTACCATTGGAAAACTTGAGATTCAACATATCAACGTTGGATCGGAAGAAATCAACTCTAAAAAAGTTGATATTTTAACGCTTTATGAATCATGTGCAAAAAATTTTAGAAAAGGTATTTTAATACATCACTTTATTATATTTAATACGAAGTATATGATAAAATTTAAATTCATATCTAATTTATTTTTTATCATATAAGATTTGATCTTCTATTGCAAGGCTAAACTGGATGCAATTATGAGTGAAAATAGTTTGTATTAAATCTCATGCCCAACTGTAAAAGACATATCACTCCAAGGAAAACAGATTTTCGGTGCATTCCTTGTGAGAAACAAATTGAAAGGCCCGTTCCAAGGTTTGTTTCAAATTTCTTCTTCATCCATATTATAATATTAAATTAAACTAGTAATAAATTATATAATCCCTAATTATCTTCGTGCATTATTTTTTTCTCGATCAGGTATCGTTTAGAGCTTAGTGTTATCGATCATAGTGGGTCAACAATATTTGTAGTTTTTGATGAAGAAGTTAAGAAACTAATAGGACAAGATGCAAGTACTCTTTTTGAGGCTCATACTTATGAAAAGGTTTTAATATTTGACTTTTAACAATAGTTAAAAGTTTAAATTGTTCTACAAATGCTTTTATCATTTATTTTAATCAAAATTTACAGATTAATGATCATAATGATGATGATAATGACAATGAAGATGATGATACACAAATTCCAAAGATGATTGTAAATATCATTGGAAGAGAGTTCGTGTTCAAAGTTAAAATCACCGCTTATAATCGTACCAGCAATTCGACAAACTTTTACGGTGATGAGAATTTTTGACAAAAGTATCATTGAGGTACTAAATAATTGTTATAAGTATTTAATGTTTATTTAGAAGTCATGAATTTAAAATTTAAATTTGTTAAAACTTTACATAAATAATTTTGATGTAGAATAGAGATGTCATAAAAGATAATGAAGATGCTTCAAAAGATGAAGTTACGGTCACTGAAAAATTACTCGCAAAACGTCCTTTTAATAATATCGATTCAACGAAAAAGGATCATGATTTATCCGACCAAATCACATCAAAGAAGATAAAGGTATATATTTTTAAGGATATATATAATTCATTTAAATATTTATTACTATTTCTAGATTATTTAAGAGTATACTAATATTAACACTTAAATTTGTATACTTCCTGTATGATGCAGGTTTAGTTTTATGAATCAAGGATGCCCTCGAAACATAATAAAACTCCATGGTCTAGAAATAGAGATTTAGATGATAGTAACGAATAATACTTATGTTAGCTTTTTTAATTTTTTTAATTATGTAACAACTTTCCATATTCTAGATGATAGTTTTTCTTTTATGTTTTATTGACAGCAAATTATGTAATACTTTTGTTTACCTTTATTTTTTAATTATTACATCAATTTTAATATTATGTAACACCCTTGCTTTACTTATTATTAATTATTTTTTATATAAGTATAACACCCTTGGTATAATAATAGTATAACTCAAAATTAATACAAAGTAAGAAGTAATAAACAAAGATGACAAATTATTCAATTGTGGATCACATAGTCGTCAATTCGTTATTGATGACACATATGGTTAAAACAAATAAGCTTTGACAAAACTATATAACTATAATTACATTAATTAGATTTCTCTTACTTCCCAACTACAAAAAAAATGGGGGGGGTAATTTTGTAGAAGTAACATTGATCAATAGGTAGCGTGTTTCATGCCCATATAAAATTATTCAAATAAGGAAAGCAATAAAGTCAAGATCAAATGTCATTTATAAATAGAATTACCATTAGTTATTTCGTTTCGAAGGAAAAGAAAGGTAAAAAGAGATTTTCCGCAGTGGGGTGGTGGAATTACCAATATGGCAAAACATAATTTTTATTTTGTATTTGGATATACTTATTCGACTAATTTCAATTTCAAGGATGCCTTTGGAAATTAATAAAAATTTTACAACTCTTGATTAGGGGATTTTGCTCCCACCAATCGGAATGCGCCACGTGGGCCAATCAGGTCCTGTCAAGTGTCCCCCAGTTGGAACTGTCAGGGTTTGCCACGTGGCACACGCCTATTCGTCCACCCTG